CACACAAATAAAGTTTTAACTCTGATGTCGATCCATTGCTTCAAACAGAGAAAATAAACAGCGTAAAGACTATGATACAGTGCAGACTAACTCTCCTATACACACATGCACCTTGCTTTATTTCTCGTGCGGATTTGTTTGTGTTTGTTGTTAATGCATATGCACAAAGATCTCTCTCTCTCTCTCTCTCTCTCTCTCTCTCTCTCTCTCTCTCTCCATATATATGGCCATACTGAGATTTTTCTAAAGACTTCGAGATTAAAGTTGTAAATTTACGAGAATACAGTAATAAATTTGTGAAAATAAAGTCATAAATTTACGAGAATAAAGTCATGAATCAATGACAACAAAGTCGTAAATTTACGAGATCAAAGCCATTAAGCCACCATAAAGCCCTCATTTTGATAACTTTCCTCTAATACAACAGGTCAGATTATTATGACCTTATCCTCGTAAATTTATGAGTTTATTATCGTTCTCCTTAATTTACGACTTCAACCTCGAAGTCGTTGAATATTATCAAAGTCGGTCGATTTCTGATTAGATAGATAGATAGATAGATAGATAGATAGATAGATAGATAGATAGATAGATATCGCCTCCTACTGGCGCCAATCTTCTACTGCTACTGTCAGCTATTTAAGTGACCAGAAGTGTTTTATTTTTCAAAGCCAGATTAAAAAGTGCAACAACTGTCCAGGGCAGGGGTGATAAATAGTAGTGCTTACAAGAAAAGCCACACTTCATACACTCATCTTCACTGTGTGTATTTGATTGCCATGGACAGGCAGTCAGTTTGTTTAATTTTTGTATGTATGTATTTCTATTTCTATTTTTTATTCAAGTTACTGTCTTCCTGTTTGAAAAAAATATTTTTACAAACATCTAAACACTGACAATACCACATTATCACCCTTTTCTCTAAACTTTGAACACACACAAAAAAACAAAAAAAAAAACACCAAAATAGTTTAATATGTGCTCTGAATCAAACACTGTTTTACTTCATTCACACAGCAGTAAGTATAAAATGTGTATTAAGCAAGTATTACACCATACAGGACTACACATAAGACACAGCTGTAAGAATAATGATCCTCAGTATAAAACTGTAAAAATTGTTGATATAAATCAGCACAAAATATCTGAAGATTTCTCTACCATGTACCATGCAAGGAGAAAACCCTATACACATGATTTAGAATGATGACAATTCCAGTGAATTGTCTGGATCTGAGTCCATTTGAAGTGGACTAAGGCAAACTTGGAACTTCACTGTGGTCTAAAAATAAAAAAAAATGTAATATTCTTTTTGGAAATCATGGATGCTGTGTTCTGTATTTTAAGGGAAGGAAAACATTAAATGTGCTGTCAGGGCAAAGTTAAAATGCCAGCCTATGATGGTAAAAAAAATTATAGGGTCTAAATAGCTTCTGAACACTGTTTTTATTTATAGACACGGTCTATAACAGTCAGTATAAAAACTGCACCACCACAGCACAAAAACTGAAAACAGACAGGGATCGCTTCAAGAAAAAATTAATACATTTGAGATGGCAGTAACTTGTCTGCAAATTTTATTACACAAATTAAATACTGCAATTACTAAAATTGTGGTTGAACATTTACAGAAGAAAAATTATTGCACCAGGAGAGAAGTCAACCATTCCAAGATGTTCTGTATTGCAATATTGTGGTACTCAGACCAGACCTTTGTCAGTTTGAGTGATCGCTAAAATACAAGGTGTGTACACTCAAAGTCATGGAGCAGCTACATCTCTCATCATACAGATTAAGATTAAACACATACAGTGCACTGCAAAGGTGGTAATCCCAGAGACAGAGTCTTACTATACGCTAAGTCTTGGTTTTTCTTGTCCTCTTGTTCTTACCTATAGTTACTGTCTGCATCAGAAGTGCTCAGAGCAAATGTGTTTAAAATATTTTAGCAAGTGTCTAACAAGGTAAAGGTGTTTAAGAATGTGCAAAAAAAGCAATAGATTCAATAAATCAGTTCACACCACTGACAGTTTGGTTCATGAATACATTAGAACGTAAGTGAACTATTTACTGTGGATAGTCCTTTATTTTTCGACTTATATTTCTATCAGCATTTACTTTATAACTGTATTGTTTCTATAACTATATCATACTTTGTTGGTCTTTTTTCATATCTTTAATTGACTATTAAAATCCTCCCAGGGACAGACTTTGCAAGCTAGCATTTTGAAAACACTGAGTGCAGTACATGTGAGACATGTGCATGTTTAAATCATAGACATTACCAATGTTGCTGCATGTCCATGATAAATAAACATATCAATAGCAAGAAGCTTAAAGGACATCACTTTTGTGCTGTTTGTTAGGGCAGTTTCATCTTTTTTACATCCTTTCTTCGTCTATTGAGGTTTTGCTCATTACCTTCTTCCTAGCAAGGTCTCAATGCTGTTCAACCACTGGCACAACCACTCAGAGCATGGTGTGTGGACATTGGGGTATGCTCAGTACACTTATGCCAGTTTCAGTTCGATTTAACCTTTTATATAGAGGTAAATTAGTTTTTTAACCACATTATCCCGGTATGTCAGTTTGACTATGAAAAGTTTGATTTATGTCAGACAAACATGTATACATGCATCTTAAAAGTACAGTTTCAGTGGGACTGCAATAAACTGTTTTCTTAAAGTGCATGTAAATATATTGGCTGATAGTGACAGACATGAATGTCTTACAGACTCTGTCACACATCTTCTGGATGAGGTGATAGTGACCTGTTATATTGTGGAGAAACTGGAATTGAAGATAGTGCTGTAGCAATTTAAAAAGCAATGCAATTAACCGTGGAAAAAAACAAAATGAAAATTTAAGTTGATGTTAAAACTCGGAAGTCCAACGACCCACCTCTCTTTCAGCTGCAATAAAAAGGGTAATCCAAGTCCAGCAAAAGATAAAACTAAGGCACATTATATCTGTAAAGATCCATGAATTAAAATTACATAAACTGTATAATCTTGCCCAGGTTGTGCAGGATGCATGAGGGCAGGGTTTGGTATGGAGCCAGATCAGGTTCAAAAGTATTGAAAAGTAGTGTAAGTGAAAAAATAAAAAGTGAAGTGGAAAAATAAGATTTGAACCTGAAAAAAATGAAATGGTACCTGAAAGTCTTGAATTTCGAAATTGAACTTTGAAAAATCCCAGAATGCATGAAAAAAACCTGTTCAAATGTAACTTTGATTCTGTTTTTTAATACTTTTGAATAAATTACTTATTTCTATTTTTCACTTCAATGTATATTTCAATCTTGGAGTACTTTTTTTTTTCGATTGAATTTTATTTATTTATTTCAGATTCAGATCTTATTTTTACGGATTCAAAATGGGTTTTTTTTTCGGTTTCAGATTTTTATTTTTCAGATTCAGATCTTTTTTCAGATTCAACTTGAAAAGTTTCAGGTTCACTTTTGACCCTGTTTTTCCGTGGGGGCGGGCCTCGACTGAGAGGGGCGCGGTCTGCCATGAGTGACAGGCCTCCGCCTCCTTCCCCACCCCATCACCCTGCGTTCAGGAAGTGGCATGAATACACATTAGCTTAGCCTACAATTAGGCTGTATTGGCTGAATGAGATCGATTGAAGATAATTATTAGTATGATTATCTCTTAAATACAACCAGGGCTCTCAAGTTTTGAACTAAGCTTAGAGTGAGATTTCCGTGGGGGGGTAATTGAAGATAATTATTAGTATAATTATCTCTTAAATACAACGGAGTATAAGGGGCACAATTAGAAAAAAAACAGAATAAAGTCATTAATATCAGTATTAAGTCGTAAAGTTACCTGTTGTGAAGGAGAGTTGTTAAAATCAGCACTGTGGAGCATTTAGATGAATTGTACTTTAGTATAGGTTTCACAAACATGGAGATACTTAATCCTTTGGTACATGAGCATTACACTGTCATGAGTATCAGAACTTATATTTGAGATATATGAGAAATGCTGCTTTTGTGGAGGGGAAATGGCTGTACAGAGGCTAAATCCGTCAATACAGCTGTTAATAGCAATAGCATAGGGCTTTAGTTTATCATATGAGTTTATATGCCATGAGGTGTTGAGGTCTCTGCATGTGTAGGTTACTGACTTACTGTAATCATCGGGTCTATCTCGTCCTTATAAAAACCTGCTCTATTATGGCGAGTGTCTGTCTTCTTCTGTAGTCAAACCGTAAGATATCAAAATCTACCCGAATACAGCAATGCTGCTTTTTTATTGGCTGTTCAGTAGATATACTTTATTTGATTGGCTTGCGCGTGGTACGCAGCTTCTGAACTCTCAGAGGAACTCATTTCATTCCTGCCTGTTCCATAGTTAAAGAGGTGCAACTTGGTGGACATCACCATGTTCATTTAAATGTGTGAGAAACAGACATGTTTTGAAAATAGTAGATATGGCGACCAAAACATTTGAGTCTTGAATAGCACATAGCCATAGTAAACGCCATTACATTCGGGTACACTCGTGTGGCTAACACCAGAGCTAATCCACTGCTCTGCTTTGATGTTGATTAAAACCACAGGAAATTACACAATTTTAACCCGGAAACGCCATAAAATCTCAACTTTTTACTTGGTTAATGCAATTAAGTTATTTTTAACATGTTTTTTTTATCCTACCTTGAGGTATATTTGAGATTAATGTTTGACAGAAATGTAGAGTTCTTCAACACAAAGGCGTACTGCATTATTTGAGGATAAAGCTGCTCTTGTTTCCTAAATTAACAAGAATTATATCTCAGAATTAAATAAAAAAATTTCGGGGGGAAAAAAGTTCTTTTTTTTATATAGTTAATATAAAAAGGTAATGTCTCAGGTTATAACCAGGTTATAACCAGGTAATGTCTCAGGTTATAACCAGGTTATAACCAGGTAATTTCTCAGGTTATAACCAGGTAACATCTCAGGTTATAACCAGGTAATGTCTCAGGTTATAACCAGGTAATAACCAGGTTATAACCAGGTAATGTCTCAAGTTATAACCAGGTTATAACCAGGTAATGTTTCAGGTTATAACCAGGTTATAACCAGGTAATGTCTTATGTTATAACGAGGTTATAACCAGGTAATGTCTCAGGTTATAACCAGGTTATAACCAGGTAATGTCTCAGGTTAAAACCAGGTTATAACCAGGTAATGTCTCAGGTTAAAACCAGGTTATAACTAGGTTATAACCAGGTAATTTCTCCGGTTATAACCAGGTTATAACCAGGTAATGTCTCAGGTTAAAACATGGTTATAACCAGGTAATGTCTCGGGTTATAACCAGGTAATAACCAAGTTATAACCAGGTTATTACCAGGTAGTGTCTCAGGTAAAAACCAGGTTATAACTAGGTTATAACCAGGTAATGTCTCTGGTTAAAACCAGGTTATAACCAGGTAATGTCTCAGGATATAACCAGGTTATAAACAGGTAATGTCTCAGGTTATAACCTGGTTATAATCAGGTAATGTCTCAGGATATAACCAGGTTATAACCAGGTTAAGACCAGGTAATGTCTCAGGTTATAACCAGGTTATGACCAGGTAATTTCTCAGGATCTAACCAGGTTACAACCAGGTAATTTCTCAGGATATAACCAGGGTATAACCAGGTAATGTCTCAGGTTATAACCAGATTATAACCAGGTAAAGTCTCAGGATATAACCAGGTTATAACCAGGTTATGACCAGGTAATGTCTCAGGTTATAACCATGTTATAACCAGGTAATGTCTCAGGTTATAACCAAGTTATATACAGGAAATGTCTCAGGTTAAAACCAGGTTATAATTAGGATATAACCAGGTAATGTCTTAGGTTAAAACCAGGTTATAACCAGGTTATTACCAGGTAATGTCTGAGGTTATAACCAGGTTATAACCAGGTAATGTCTCAGGTTATAACATGGTCATAACCAGGTAATGTCTCAGGTTATAACCAGGTAATAAGCAAGTTATAACCAGGTTATTACAAGGTAGTGTCTTCAGGTTAAAAGCAGGTTATTACCAGGTAATGTCTCAGGTTATAACCAGGTCATGTCTCAGGTTAAAACCAGGTTATAACCAGGTAATGTCTCAGGTTATAACCAGGTTATAACCAGGTAATGTCTCAGGTTAAAACCAGGTTATAACCAGGTAATGTCTCAGGTTAAAACCAGGTTATAACTAGGTTATAACCAGGTAATTTCTCCGGTTATAACCAGGTTATAACCAGGTAATGTCTCAGGTTAAAACATGGTTATAACCAGGTATTGTCTCGGGTTATAACCAGGTAATAACCAAGTTATAACCAGGTTATTACCAGGTAGTGTCTCAGGTAAAAACCAGGTTATAACTAGGTTATAACCAAGTTATGTCTCTGGTTAAAACCAGGTTATAACCAGGTAATGTCTCAGGTTATAACCAGGTTATAAACAGGTAATGTCTCAGGATATAACCAGGTTATAAACAGGTAATGTCTCAGGTTATAACCAGGTTATAACCTGGTTATAACCAAGTAATGTCTCAGGATATAACCAGGTTATAACCAGGTTAAGACCAGGTAATGTCTCAGGTTAAAACCAGGTTATGACCAGGTAATTTCACAGGATCTAACCAGGTTACAACCAGGTAATTTCTCAGGATATAACCAGGGTATAACCAGGTAATGTCTCAGGTTACAACCAGGTTATAACAGGTAATTTCTCAGGTTATAACCAGGTTATAACCTGGTTACCTCGCTAAGCAGTAATCCTGCTTCGTAGAACTGGCCCCAGGTAATGTCTCAGGTTATAACCAGGTAATGTCCTAGGATAAAACCAGCTTATAACCAGGTAATGTCTCAGGATATAACCAGGTTATAACTAGGTTATGACCAGGTAATGTCTCAGTTTATAACCAGGTTATGACCAGGTAATGTCTCAGGTTTTAACCAGGTTATAACCAGGTAATGTCTCAGGTTATAACCAGGTAATTTCTCAAGATATAACCAGGTTATAACCAGGATATGACCAGGTAATGTCTCAGGTTATAATCAGGTTATAACCAGGTATTGTCTCAGTTTATAACCAGGTTATAACCAGGTAATGTCTCAGGTTATAACCAGGTTATAACCAGGTAATATCTCAGTTTATAACCAGGTAATAACCAAGTTATAACCAGGTTATAACCTGGTTACCTCGCTAAGCAGTAATCCTGCTTCGTAGAACTGGCCCCAGGTAATGTCTCAGGTTATAACCAGGTAATGTCCTAGGATAAAACCAGCTTATAACCAGGTAATGTCTCAGGATATAACCAGGTTATAACTAGGTTATGACCAGGTAATGTCTCAGTTTATAACCAGGTTATGACCAGGTAATGTCTCAGGTTTTAACCAGGTTATAACCAGGTAATGTCTCAGGTTATAACCAGGTAATTTCTCAAGATATAACCAGGTTATAACCAGGATATGACCAGGTAATGTCTCAGGTTATAAGCAGGTTATAACCAGGTATTGTCTCAGTTTATAACCAGGTTATAACCAGGTAATGTCTCAGGTTATAACCAGGTTATAACCAGGTAATATCTCAGTTTATAACCAGGTTATAACCAGGTAATGTCTCAGGTTATAACCAGGTTATAACCAGGTAATGTCTCAGGATATAATCAGGTTATAACCAGGTTATAAACAGGTATTGTCTCAGGATATAACTAGGTTATAACCAGGAAATGTCTCAGGTTATAACCAGGTTATAACCAGGTAATGTCTCAGGTTATGACCAGGTAATAACCAAGTTATAACCAGGTTATTACTAGGTGGTGTCCCAGGTTAAAACCAGGTTATAACTAGGTTATAACGAGGTAATGTCTCAGGTTAAAACCAGGTTATAACCAGGTAATGTCTCAGGATATAACCAGGTTATAACCAGGTTATGACCAGGTAATGTCTCAGGTTATAACCAGGTTATAACCAGGTAATGTCTCAGGTTATAACCAGGTAATGTCTTAGGATATAACCAGGTTATAACCAGGTTATGACCAGGCAATGTCTCAGGTTATAACCATGTTATAACCAGGTAATGTCTCAGGTTATAACCAGGTAATGTCTCAGGTTATAACCAGGTTATGACCAGGTAATGTCTCAGGTTTGTACCAGGTTATGACCAGGTAATGTCTCAGGTTATAACCAGGTAATAACCAGGTTATAACCAGGTAATGTCTCAGGTTATAACCAGGTTATAACCAGTTAATGTCTCAGGTTTTTACCAGGTTATAACTAGGTTATAACCAGGTAATGTCTCAGGTTAAAACCAGGTTATAAACAGGTAATGTCTCAGGTTATAATATGGTTATAACTAGGAAATGTCCCAGGTTATAACCAGGTAATAACCAAGTTATAACCAGGTTATTACCAGGTAGTGTCTCAGGTTAAAACCAGGTTATAACTCGGTTATAACCAGGTAATGTCTCAGGTTAAAACCAGGTTATAACTAGGTTATAACCAGGTAATGTCTCAGGTTACAACCAGGTTATAACCAGGTAATGTCCTGGGATATAACCAGGTTATAACCATAGACTGTATATAAGATGGACAGAGCCTGCCTCCTTGCTGGGTGAAGCCACTCTGAGAACAGCACCCTCTGATGGTGGGCTGCAGTACAGGTCATAAATCCCGCCTCCGCCAGCAAAGCTTAAGGGACTGTGGACAAACTTTAGAAATGTATTACACAGAACATAATTTTTTCTCCCCCCTGGTTGTGATGTTGACATGTAGTTACAGAAAGACTGGTTTGTGCCCAAGTACTTTTTTTTCTGTACAGCTCTGTTTTAAAAGTTATTAGGGGGTTCATGTTTTCTATGATTGACACCTGGTACAGCCTATGGGCGTTCAGGCATTCCGAAGCTCTTCCGGGGGAATACGCTGTTTGACCCGAGCATCATCACAGGGACTCTCGGCGACTGCGCGGCCGAATGTGCACAACGTTACTGCACAGTTCTGGTTTCAAGGAAGCGGAGAAAAACCCAGAATTACCGAGAGCCGTTTGGCTTCAAATCCGTATACAGGCGGAAGGCGGTAGCCAGGTAATAACCAGGTTATAACCAGGTGATGACCAGGTAATGTCTCAGGTTATAACCAGGTTATAACCAGGTTATAACCAGGTAATGTCTCAGGTTATAAGCAGGTTATAACCAGGTAATGTCTCAGGATATAATCAGGTTATAACCAGGTTATAACCACGTAATGTCTCAGGATATAACTAGGTTATAACCAGGTAATGTCTCAGGTTATGACCAGGTTATAACCAGGTAATGTCTCAGGTTAAAACCAGGATATAACTAGGTTATAACCAGGTAATGTCTCAGGTTAAAACCAGGTAATAACCAGGTAATGTCTCAGGTTATAACGAGGTTATAACCAGGTTATAACCAGGAAATGTCTCAGGTTATAACCAGGTAATAACCAAGTTATAACCATGTTATTCCCAGGTGGTGTCTCAGGTTATAACCAGGAAATGTCTCAGGTTAAAACCAGGTTATAGCCAAATAATGTCTTAGGTTATCACCAGGTTATAACCAGGTAATGTCTCAGGATTTAACCAGGTTATAACAAGGTAAGGTCTCAGGATATAACCAGGTTATAACCAGGTTATGACCAGGTAATGTCTCAGGTTATAACCAGGTTATGACCAGGTAATGTCTCAGGTTATAACCAGGTAATGTCTCAAGATGAAACCAGGTTATAACCAAGTTATGACCAGGTAATGTCTCAGGTTATAACCAGGTTATAACCAGGTAATGTCTCAGCTTTTAACCAGGTTATAACCAGGTAATGTCTCAAGTTATAACCAGGTTATTACCAGGTAGTGTGTCAGGTTAAAACCAGGTAATAACCAAGTAATAACCAGGTTGTTACCAGGTAGTTTCTCAGGTTAATTCCAGGTTATAACTAGGTTATACCCAGTTAATGTCTCAGGTTAAAACCAGGTTATTACTAGGTTATAACCAGGTAATGTCTCAGGTTAAAACCAGGTTATAACTAGGTTATAACCAGCTAATGTCTCAGGATATAACCAGGTTATAATCAGGTAATGTCTCGGGATATAACCAGGTTATAACCAATTATAACCAGGTTGTTACCAGGTAGTTTCTCAGGTTAATTCCAGGTTATAATTAGGTTATAATGTCTCAGGTTATAACATGGTTATAACCAGGTAATGTCTCAGGTTAAAACCAGGTTAAAACCAGGTTACAACCAGGTAATGTCTCAGGTTATAACCAGGTTATAACTAGGTAATGTCTCAGGATATAACCAGGTTATAACCAGGTAATGTCTCAGGGTGTAACTGGTTATAACCAGGTAATGTCTCAGGATTTAACCAGGTTATAACCAGGTAATGTCTAAGGATATAACCAGGTTCAAACCAGGTTTAAACCAGGTAATGTCTCAGGATAGAACTAGGTTATAACCAAATAATGTCGTAAGATATAACCAGGTTATAACCAGGTAATGTAAATGGTTTAAACCAGGTTATAACTAGGGTATAACCAGGTAATGTCCCAGGTTAAAACCAGGTTATAAACAGGTTATTACCAGGTAATGTCTCAGGTTATAACCAGGTAATGTCCTAGGATAAAACCAGCTTATAACCAGGTAATGTCTCAGGATATAACCAGGTTATAACTAGGTTATGACCAGGTAATGTCTTAGTTTATAACCAGGTTATGACCAGGTGATGTCTCAGGTTATAACCAGGTTATAACCAGGTAATGTCTCAGGTTATAACCAGGTAATTTCTCAAGATATAACCAGGTTATAACCAGGATATGACCAGGTAATGTCTCAGGTTATAACCAGGTTATAACCAGGTATTGTCTAAGTTTATAACCAGGTTATAACCAGGTAATGTCTCAGGTTATAACCAGGTTATAACCAGGTAATATCTCAGTTTATAACCAGGTTAAAACCAGGTAATGTCTCAGGTTATAACCAGGTTATAACCAGGTAATGTCTCAGGATATAATCAGGTTATAACCAGGTTAAAAACAGGTATTGTCTCAGGATATTACTAGGTTATAACCAGGTAATGTCTCAGGTTAAAACCAAGTTATAACCAGGTAATGTCTCAGGTTATAACCAGGTAATGTCTTAGGATATAACCAGGTTATAACCAGGTTATGACCAGGCAATGTCTCAGGTTATAACCATGTTATAACCAGGTTATGACCAGGCAATGTCTCAGGTTATAACCATGTTATAACCAGGTAGTGTCTCAGGTTATAACCAGGTAATGTCTCAGGTTATAACCAGGTTATAACCAGGTAATGTCTCAGGTTTTTACCAGGTTATGACCAGGTAATGTCTCAGGTTATAACCAGGTAATAACCAGGTTATAACCAGGTAATGTCTCAGGTTATAACCAGGTTATAACCAGTTAATGTCTCAGGTTTTTACCAGGTTATAACTAGGTTATAACCAGGTAATGTCTCAGGTTAAAACCAGGTTATAAACAGGTAATGTCTCAGGTTATAATATGGTTATAACTAGGAAATGTCTCAGGTTATAACCAGGTAATAACCAAGTTATAACCAGGTTATTACCAGGTAGTGTCTCAGGTTATAACCAGGTTATGACCAGGTAATGTCTCAGGTTATAACCAGGTTATAACCAGGTAATGTCTCAGGTTATAAGCAGGTTATAACCAGGTAATGTCTCAGGTTATAACCAGGTTATTACCAGGTAATAACCAGGTTATAACCAGGTAATGTCTCAGGTTAAAACCAGGATATAACTAGGTTATAACCAGGTAATGTCTCAGGTTAAAACCAGGTAATAAACAGGTAATGTCTCAGGTTATAACGAGGTTATAACCAGGTTATAACCAGGAAATGTCTCAGGTTATAACCAAGTAATAACCAAGTTATAACCATGTTATTACCAGGTGGTGTCTCAGGTTATAACCAGGAAATGTCTCAGGTTAAAACCAGGTTATAGCCAAGTAATGTCTCAGGTTATCACCAGGTTATAACCAGGTAATGTCTCAGGATTTAACCAGGTTATAACAAGGTAAGGTCTCAGGATATAACCAGGTTATGACCAGGTTAATGTCTCAGGTTATAACCAGGTTATAACCAGGTAATGTCTCAGGTTATAACCAGGTTATAACCAGGTAATGTCTCAGGTTATAACCAGGTTATGACCAGGTAATGTCTCAGGTTATAACCAGGTAATGTCTCAAGATAAAACCAGGTTATAACCAAGTTATGACCAGGTAATGTCTCAGGTTATAACCAGGTTATAACCAGGTAATGTCTCAGCTTTTAACCATGTTATAACCAGGTAATGTCTCAAGTTATAACCAGGTTATTACCAAGTATTGTGTCAGGTTAAAACCAGGTAATAACCAAGTTATAACCAGGTTGTTACCAGGTAGTTTCTCAGGTTAATTCCAGGTTATAACTAGGTTATACCCAGTTAATGTCTCAGGTTAAAACCAGGTTATTACTAGGTTATAACCAGGTAATGTCTCGGGTTAAAACCAGGTTATAACTAGGTTATAACCAGCTAATGTCTCAGGATATAACCAGGTTATAATCAGGTAATGTCTCGGGATATAACCAGGTTATAACCAAGTTATAACCAGGTTGTTACCAGGTAGTTTCTCAGGTTAATTCCAGGTTATAATTAGGTTATAACCAGTTAATGTCTCAGGTTAAAACCAGGTTATAACTAGGTTATAAACAGGTAATGTCTCAGGTTAAAACCAGGTTATTACCAGGTTTATAACCAGGGAATGTCTCAGGATATAACCAGGTTATAACCAGGTAATGTCTCAGGATATAACCAGGTTATAACCAGGTTATGACCAGGTAATGTCTCAGGTTAAAACCAGGATATAACCAGGTAATGTATCAGGTTATATCCAGGTTATAACCGGGTAATGTCTCAGGTTATAATCAGGTAATGTCTCAGGATATAACAAGGTTATGACCAGGTAATGTCTCAGGTTAAAACCAGGTTATTACTAGGATATAACCAGGTAATGTCTCAGGTTACAACCAGGTCATAACCAGGTTATAACCAGGTAATGTCTCAGGTTATAACCAGGTAATAACCAAGTTATAACCAGGTTATTACCAGGTGGTGTCTCAGGTTAAAACCAGGTTATAACCAGGTAATGTCTCAGGATACAACCAGGTTATGACCAGATAATGTTTCAGGTTATAAACAGGTTATGACCAGGTAATTTCTCAGGATATAACCAGGTTATAACCAGGTAATGTCTCAGGTTATAATCAGGTAATAACCAGGTTATAACCAGGTCAAAACCTGGTTATTACCAGGTACTGTCTAAGGTTATAACCAGGTTATAACTAGGTCATGTCTCAGGATATAACCAGGTTATAACCAGGTTACAACCAGGTAATGTCTCAGGTTATAACCAGGTCATGACTCAGGACCAGGTAATGTCTCAGGATATAACCAGGTTATAACCAGGTAATGTCTCAGGTTATAACATGGTTATAACCAGGTAATGTCTCAGGTTAAAACCAGGTTAAAACCAGGTTACAACCAGGTAATGTCTCAGGTTATAACCAGGTTATAACTAGGTAATGTCTCAGGATATAACCAGGTTATAACCAGGTAATGTCTCAGGTGTAACTGGTTATAACCAGGTAATGTCTCAGGATATAACCAGGTTATAAGCAAGTAATGTCTCAGGATATAACCAGGTTATAACCAGGTAATGTCTAAGGTTATAACCAGGTTATAACCAGGTAATGTCTAAGGATATAACCAGGTTCTAACCAGGTTCTAACCAGGTAATGTCTCAGGATAGAACTAGGTTATAACCAAATAATGTCGTAAGATATAACCAGGTTATAACCAGGTAATGTCTTAGGATATAACCTGTTTATAACCAGGTTATTACCCGGTAATGTGTCAGGTTATAACCAGGTTATAACCAGGTAATGTCTCAGGTTATACCCGGGTTATAACCAGGTAATGACTCAGGATATAACCGGGTAATAACCAGGTAATGTCTCAGGATCTAACCAGGTTATAACCAGGTTATAACCAGGTAATATCTCAGGATATAACCAGGTTTTAACCAGGTTATAACCAGGTAATGTCTCAGGATATAACCAGGTTATAAGCAGGTTGTTACCAGGTAATGTCTCAGGATATAACCAGGTAATGTCTCAGGATATAACCAGGTTTTAACCAGGTTATAACCAGGTAATGTCTCAGGATATAACCAGGTTATAAGCAGGTTGTTACCAGGTAATGTCTCAGGATATAACCAGGTAATGTCTCAGGATATAACCAGGTTATAAACAGGTAATGTCTCAGGATGTAACCAGGTTATAACCAGGTTATAACCAGGTAATGTCTCAGGATATAACTAGGTTATAACCAGGTAATGTCTCAGGATATAACCAGGTTATACCAGGTAATGTCACAGGTTAAAATCAGGTTATCACTAGGATATAACCAGGTAATGTCCCAGGTTAAAACCAGGTTGTAACCAGGTAATAACCAAGTTATAACCAGGTTATGTCTCAGGTTATAACCAGGTTATAACCAGGTAATGTCTCAGGATATAACCTGTTTATAACCAGGTTATTACCTGGTAATGTGTCAGGTTATAACCAGGTTATAACCAGGTAATGTCTCAGGTTATACCGAGGTTATAACCAGGTAATGACTCAGGTTATAACCAGGTCATAACCAGGTTATAACCAGGTAATGTCTCAGGATATAACCAGGTTATAACCAGGTTATAACCAGGTAATGTCTCAGGATATAACCAGGTTATAACCAGGTTATACCCAGGTAATGTCTCAGGATATAAGCAGGTTATAACCAGGTAATGTCTCAGGTTAAAACCAGGTTATACCAGGTAATGTCACAGGTTAAAATCAGGTTATCACTAGGATATAACCAGGTAATGTCCCAGGTTAAAACCAGGTTGTAACCAGGTAATAACCAAGTTATAACCAGGTTATGTCTCAGGTTATAACCAGGTTATAACCAGGTAATGTCTCAGGATATAACCTGTTTATAACCAGGTTATTACCTGGTAATGTGTCAGGTTATAACCAGGTTATAACCAGGTAATGTCTCAGGTTATACCGAGGTTATAACCAGGTAATGACTCAGGTTATAACCAGGTCATAACCAGGTTATAACCAGGTAATGTCTCAGGATATAACTAGGTTATAACCAGGTAATGTCTCAGGATATAACCAGGTTATGACCAGGTTATAACCAGGTAATGTCTCAGGATATAACCAGGTTATAACCAGATTATAACCAGGTAATGTCTCAGGATATAACCAGGTAATGTCTCAGGATATAACCAGGTTATAACCAGGTTATAACCAGGTAATGTCTCAGGATATAACCAGGTTATAACCAGGTAATGTCTCAGGATATAACCAGGTTATACCAGGTAATGTCACAGGTTAAAATCAGGTTATCACTAGGATATAACCAGGTAATGTCCCAGGTTAAAACCAGGTTGTAACCAGGTAATAACCAAGTTATAACCAGGTTATGTCTCAGGTTATAACCAGGTTATAACCAGGTAATGTCTCAGGATATAACCTGTTTATAACCAGGTTATTACCTGGTAATGTGTCAGGTTATAACCAGGTTATAACCAGGTAATGTCTCAGGTTATACCGAGGTTATAACCAGGTAATGACTCAGGTTATAACCAGGTCATAACCAGGTTATAACCAGGTAATGTCTCAGGATATAACCAGGTTATAACCAGGTTATAACCAGGTAATGTCTCAGGATATAACCAGGTTATAACCAGGTTATAACCAGGTAATGTCTCAGGATATAAGCAGGTTATAACCAGGTAATGTCTCAGGTTATAACCAGGTTATAACCAGGTAATGTCTCAGGATATAACTAGGTTATAACCAGGTAATGTCTCAGGATATAACCAGGTTATGACCAGGTTATAACCAGGTAATGTCTCAGGATATAACCAGGTTATAACCAGATTATAACCAGGTAATGTCTCAGGATATAACCAGGTAATGTCTCAGGATATAACCAGGTTATAACCAGGTTATAACCAGGTAATGTCTCAGGATATAACCAGGTTATAACCAGGTAATGTCTCAGGATATAACCAGGTTATACCAGGTAATGTCACAGGTTAAAATCAGGTTATCACTAGGATATAACCAGGTAATGTCCCAGGTTAAAACCAGGTTGTAACCAGGTAATAACCAAGTTATAACCAGGTTATGTCTCAGGTTATAACCAGGTTATAACCAGGTAATGTCTCAGGATATAACCTGTTTATAACCAGGTTATTACCTGGTAATGTGTCAGGTTTTCTATGATTGACACCTGGTACAGCCTATGGGCGTTCAGGCATTCCGAAGCTCTTCCGGGGGAATACGCTGTTTGACCCGAGCATCATCACAGGGACTCTCGGCGACTGCGCGGCCGAATGTGCACAACGTTACTGCACAGTTCTGGTTTCAAGGAAGCGGAGAAAAACCCAGAATTACCGAGAGCCGTTTGGCTTCAAATCCGTATAAAGGCGGAAGGCGGTAGCCAGGTAATAACCAGGTTATAACCAGGTGATGACCAGGTAATGTCTCAGGTTATAACCAGGTTATAACCAGGTTAACCAGGTAATGTCTCAGGTTATAACCAGGTTATAACCAGGTAATGTCTCAGGATATAATCAGGTTATAACCAGGTTATAACCACGTAATGTCTCAGGATATAACTAGGTTATAACCAGGTAATGTCTCAGGTTATAACCAGGTTATAACCAGGTAATGTCTCAGGTTAAAACCAGGATATAACTAGGTTATAACCAGGTAATGTCTCAGGTTAAAACCAGGTAATAACCAGGTAATGTCTCAGGTTATAACGAGATTATAACCAGGTTATAACCAGGAAATGTCTCAGGTTATAACCAGGTAATAACCAAGTTATAACCATGTTATTACCAGGTGGTGTCTCAGGTTATAACCAGGAAATGTCTCAGGTTAAAACCAGGTTATAGCCAAGTAATGTCTTAGGTTATCACCAGGTTATAACCAGGTAATGTCTCAGGATTTAACCAGGTTATAACAAGGTAAGGTCTCAGGATATAACCAGGTTATAACCAGGTTATGACCAGGTAATGTCTCAGGTTATAACCAGGTTATGACCAGGTAATGTCTCAGGTTATAACCAGGTAATGTCTCAAGATGAAACCAGGTTATAACCAAGTTATGACCAGGTAATGTCTCAGGTTATAACCAGGTTATAACCAGGTAATGTCTCAGCTTTTAACCAGGTTATAACCAGGTAATGTCTCAAGTTATAACCAGGTTATTACCAGGTAGTGTGTCAGGTTAAAACCAGGTAATAACCAAGTAATAACCAGGTTGTTACCAGGTAGTTTCTCAGGTTAATTCCAGGTTATAACTAGGTTATACCCAGTTAATGTCTCAGGTTAAAACCAGGTTATTACTAGGTTATAACCAGGTAATGTCTCAGGTTAAAACCAGGTTATAACTAGGTTATAACCAGCTAATGTCTCAGGATATAACCAGGTTATAATCAGGTAATGTCTCGGGATATAACCAGGTTATAACCAATTATAACCAGGTTGTTACCAGGTAGTTTCTCAGGTTAATTCCAGGTTATAATTAGGTTATAATGTCTCAGGTTATAACATGGTTATAACCAGGTAATGTCTCAGGTTAAAACCAGGTTAAAACCAGGTTACAACCAGGTAATGTCTCAGGTTATAACCAGGTTATAACTAGGTAATGTCTCAGGATATAACCAGGTTATAACCAGGTAATGTCTCAGGGTGTAACTGGTTATAACCAGGTAATGTCTCAGGATTTAACCAGGTTATAACCAGGTAATGTCTAAGGATATAACCAGGTTCAAACCAGGTTTAAACCAGGTAATGTCTCAGGATAGAACTAGGTTATAACCAAATAATGTCGTAAGATATAACCAGGTTATAACCAGGTAATGTAACAGGTTTAAACCAGGTTATAACTAGGGTATAACCAGGTAATGTCCCAGGTTAAAACCAGGTTATAAACAGGTTATTACCAGGTAATGTCTCAGGTTATAACCAGGTAATGTCCTAGGATAAAACCAGCTTATAACCAGGTAATGTCTCAGGATATAACCAGGTTATAACTAGGTTATGACCAGGTAATGTCTTAGTTTATAACCAGGTTATGACCAGGTGATGTCTCAGGTTATAACCAGGTTATAACCAGGTAATGTCTCAGGTTATAACCAGGTAATTTCTCAAGATATAACCAGGTTATAACCAGGATATGACCAGGTAATGTCTCAGGTTATAACCAGGTTATAACCAGGTATTGTCTAAGTTTATAACCAGGTTATAACCAGGTAATGTCTCAGGTTATAACCAGGTTATAACCAGGTAATATCTCAGTTTATAACCAGGTTAAAACCAGGTAATGTCTCAGGTTATAACCAGGTTATAACCAGGTAATGTCTCAGGATATAATCAGGTTATAACCAGGTTAAAAACAGGTATTGTCTCAGGATATTACTAGGTTATAACCAGGTAATGTCTCAGGTTAAAACCAAGTTATAACCAGGTAATGTCTCAGGTTATAACCAGGTAATGTCTTAGGATATAACCAGGTTATAACCAGGTTATGACCAGGCAATGTCTCAGGTTATAACCATGTTATAACCAGGTTATGACCAGGCAATGTCTCAGGTTATAACCATGTTATAACCAGGTAGTGTCTCAGGTTATAACCAGGTAATGTCTCAGGTTATAACCAGGTTATGACCAGGTAATGTCTCAGGTTTGTACCAGGTTATGACCAGGTAATGTCTCAGGTTATAACCAGGTAATAACCAGGTTATAACCAGGTAATGTCTCAGGTTATAACCAGGTTATAACCAGTTAATGTCTCAGGTTAAAACCAGGTTATAACTAGGTTATAACCAGGTAATGTCTCAGGTTAAAACCAGGTTATAAACAGGTAATGTCTCAGGTTATAATATGGTTATAACTAGGAAATGTCTCAGGTTATAACCAGGTAATAACCAAGTTATAACCAGGTTATTACCAGGTAGTGTCTCAGGTTAAAACCAGGTTATAACTCGGTTATAACCAGGTAATGTCTCAGGATATAAGCAGGTTATAACCAGGTAATGTCTCAGGTTATAACCAGGTTATAACCAGGTAATGTCTCAGGGTGTAACTGGTTATAACCAGGTAATGTCTCAGGATTTAACCAGGTTATAACCAGGTAATGTCTAAGGATATAACCAGGTTCAAACCAGGTTTAAACCAGGTAATGTCTCAGGATAGAACTAGGTTATAACCAAATAATGTCGTAAGATATAACCAGGTTATAACCAGGTAATGTAACAGGTTTAAACCAGGTTATAACTAGGGTATAACCAGGTAATGTCCCAGGTTAAAACCAGGTTATAAACAGGTTATTACCAGGTAATGTCTCAGGTTATAACCAGGTAATGTCCTAGGATAAAACCAGCTTATAACCAGGTAATGTCTCAGGATATAACCAGGTTATAACTAGGTTATGACCAGGTAATGTCTTAGTTTATAACCAGGTTATGACCAGGTGATGTCTCAGGTTATAACCAGGTTATAACCAGGTAATGTCTCAGGTTATAACCAGGTAATTTCTCAAGATATAACCAGGTTATAACCAGGATATGACCAGGTAATGTCTCAGGTTATAACCAGGTTATAACCAGGTATTGTCTAAGTTTATAACCAGGTTATAACCAGGTAATGTCTCAGGTTATAACCAGGTTATAACCAGGTAATATCTCAGTTTATAACCAGGTTAAAACCAGGTAATGTCTCAGGTTATAACCAGGTTATAACCAGGTAATGTCTCAGGATATAATCAGGTTATAACCAGGTTAAAAACAGGTATTGTCTCAGGATATTACTAGGTTATAACCAGGTAATGTCTCAGGTTAAAACCAAGTTATAACCAGGTAATGTCTCAGGTTATAACCAGGTAATGTCTTAGGATATAACCAGGTTATAACCAGGTTATGACCAGGCAATGTCTCAGGTTATAACCATGTTATAACCAGGTTATGACCAGGCAATGTCTCAGGTTATAACCATGTTATAACCAGGTAGTGTCTCAGGTTATAACCAGGTAATGTCTCAGGTTATAACCAGGTTATAACCAGGTAATGTCTCAGGTTTGTACCAGGTTATGACCAGGTAATGTCTCAGGTTATAACCAGGTAATAACCAGGTTATAACCAGGTAATGTCTCAGGTTATAACCAGGTTATAACCAGTTAATGTCTCAGGTTAAAACCAGGTTATAACTAGGTTATAACCAGGTAATGTCTCAGGTTAAAACCAGGTTATAAACAGGTAATGTCTCAGGTTATAATATGGTTATAACTAGGAAATGTCCCAGGTTATAACCAGGTAATAACCAAGTTATAACCAGGTTATTACCAGGTAGTGTCTCAGGTTAAAACCAGGTTATAACTCGGTTATAACCAGGTAATGTCTCAGGTTAAAACCAGGTTATAACTAGGTTATAACCAGGTAATGTCTCAGGTTACAACCAGGTTATAACCAGGTAATGTCCTGGGATATAACCAGGTTATAACCATAGACTGTATATAAGATGGACAGAGCCTGCCTCCTTGCTGGGTGAAGCCACTCCGAGAACAGCACCCTCTGATGGTGGGCTGCAGTACAGGTCATAAATCCCGCCTCCGACAGCAAAGCTTAAGGGACTGTGGACAAACTTCAGAAATTTATTACACAGAACATAATTTTTTCTCCCCCCTGGTTGTGATGTTGACATGTAGTTACAGAAAGACTGGTTTGTGCCCAAGTACTTTTTTTTCTGTACAGCTCTGTTTTAAAAGTTATTAGGGGGTTCATGTTTTCTATGATTGACACCAGGTACAGCCTATGGGCGTTCAGGCATTCCGAAGCTCTTCCGGGGGAATACGCTGTTTGACCCGAGCATCATCACAGGGACTCTCGGCGACTGCGCGGCCGAATGTGCACAACGTTACTGCACAGTTCTGGTTTCAAGGAAGCGGAGAAAAACCCAGAATTACCGAGAGCCGTTTGGCTTCAAATCCGTATAAAGGCGGAAGGCGGTAGCCAGGTAATAACCAGGTTATAACCAGGTGATGACCAGGTAATGTCTCAGGTTATAACCAGGTTATAACCAGGTTATAACCAGGTAATGTCTCAGGTTATAAGCAGGTTATAACCAGGTAATGTCTCAGGATATAATCAGGTTATAACCAGGTTATAACCACGTAATGTCTCAGGATATAACTAGGTTATAACCAGGTAATGTCTCAGGTTATGACCAGGTTATAACCAGGTAATGTCTCAGGTTAAAACCAGGATATAACTAGGTTATAACCAGGTAATGTCTCAGGTTAAAACCAGGTAATAACCAGGTAATGTCTCAGGTTATAACCAGGTTATGACCAGGTAATGTCTCAGGTTATAACCAGGTTATAACCAGGTAATGTCTCAGGTTATAAGCAGGTTATAACCAGGTAATGTCTCAGGTTATAACCAGGTTATTACCAGGTAATAACCAGGTTATAACCAGGTAATGTCTCAGGTTAAAACCAGGATATAACTAGGTTATAACCAGGTAATGTCTCAGGTTAAAACCAGGTAATAAACAGGTAATGTCTCAGGTTATAACGAGGTTATAACCAGGTTATAACCAGGAAATGTCTCAGGTTATAACCAAGTAATAACCAAGTTATAACCATGTTATTACCAGGTGGTGTCTCAGGTTATAACCAGGAAATGTCTCAGGTTAAAACCAGGTTATAGCCAAGTAATGTCTCAGGTTATCACCAGGTTATAACCAGGTAATGTCTCAGGATTTAACCAGGTTATAACAAGGTAAGGTCTCAGGATATAACCAGGTTATAACCAGGTTATGACCAGGTAATGTCTCAGGTTATAACCAGGTTATAACCAGGTAATGTCTCAGGTTATAACCAGGTTATAACCAGGTAATGTCTCAGGTTATAACCAGGTTATGACCAGGTAATGTCTCAGGTTATAACCAGGTAATGTCTCAAGATAAAACCAGGTTATAACCAAGTTATGACCAGGTAATGTCTCAGGTTATAACCAGGTTATAACCAGGTAATGTCTCAGCTTTAAACCATGTTATAACCAGGTAATGTCTCAAGTTATAACCAGGTTATTACCAAGTATTGTGTCAGGTTAAAACCAGGTAATAACCAAGTTATAACCAGGTTGTTACCAGGTAGTTTCTCAGGTTAATTCCAGGTTATAACTAGGTTATACCCAGTTAATGTCTCAGGTTAAAACCAGGTTATTACTAGGTTATAACCAGGTAATGTCTCGGGTTAAAACCAGGTTATAACTAGATTATAACCAGCTAATGTCTCAGGATATAACCAGGTTATAATCAGGTAATGTCTCGGGATATAACCAGGTTATAACCAAGTTATAACCAGGTTGTTACCAGGTAGTTTCTCAGGTTAATTCCAGGTTATAATTAGGTTATAACCAGTTAATGTCTCAGGTTAAAACCAGGTTATAACTGGGTTATAAACAGGTAATGTCTCAGGTTAAAACCAGGTTATCACCAGGTTTATAACCAGGGAATGTCTCAGGATATAACCAGGTTATAACCAGGTAATGTCTCAGGATATAACCAGGTTATAACCAGGTTATGACCAGGTAATGTCTCAGGTTAAAACCAGGATATAACCAGGTAATGTATCAGGTTATCACCAGGTTATAACCGGGTAATGTCTCAGGTTATAATCGGGTAATGTCTCAGGATATAACCAGGTTATAACCAGGTTATGATCAGGTAATGTCTCAGGTTAAAACCAGGTTATTACTAGGATATAACCAGGTAATGTCTCAGGTTACAACCAGGTCATAACCAGGTTATAACCAGGTAATGTCTCAGGTTATAACCAGGTAATAACCAAGTTAAAACCAGGTTATTACCAGGTAGTGTCTCAGGTTAAAACCAGGTTATAACCAGGTAATGTCTCAGGATACAACCAGGTTATGACCAGATAATGTTTCAGGTTATAAACAGGTTATGACCAGGTAATTTCTCAGGATATAACCAGGTTATAACCAGGTAATGTCTCAGGTTATAATCAGGTAATAACCAGGTTATAACCAGGTCAAAACCTGGTTATTACCAGGTACTGTCTAAGGTTATAACCAGGTTATAACTAGGTCATGTCTCAGGATATAACCAGGTTATAACCAGGTTACAACCAGGTAATGTCTCAGGTTATAACCAGGTCATGACTCAGGACCAGGTAATGTCTCAGGATATAACCAGGTTATAACCAGGTAATGTCTCAGGTTATAACATGGTTATAACCAGGTAATGTCTCAGGTTAAAACCAGGTTAAAACCAGGTTACAACCAGGTAATGTCTCAGGTTATAACCAGGTTATAACTAGGTAATGTCTCAGGATATAACCAGGTTATAACCAGGTAATGTCTCAGGTGTAACTGGTTATAACCAGGTAATGTCTCAGGATATAACCAGGTTATAAGCAAGTAATGTCTCAGGATATAACCAGGTTATAACCAGGTAATGTCTAAGGTTATAACCAGGTTATAACCAGGTAATGTCTAAGGATATAACCAGGTTCTAACCAGGTTCTAACCAGGTAATGTCTCAGGATAGAACTAGGTTATAACCAAATAATGTCGTAAGATATAACCAGGTTATAACCAGGTAATGTCTTAGGATATAACCTGTTTATAACCAGGTTATTACCCGGTAATGTGTCAGGTTATAACCAGGTTATAACCAGGTAATGTCTCAGGTTATACCCGGGTTATAACCAGGTAATGACTCAGGATATAACCGGGTAATAACCAGGTAATGTCTCAGGATCTAACCAGGTTATAACCAGGTTATAACCAGGTAATATCTCAGGATATAACCAGGTTTTAACCAGGTTATAACCAGGTAATGTCTCAGGATATAACCAGGTTATAAGCAGGTTGTTACCAGGTAATGTCTCAGGATATAACCAGGTAATGTCTCAGGATATAACCAGGTTTTAACCAGGTTATAACCAGGTAATGTCTCAGGATATAACCAGGTTATAAGCAGGTTGTTACCAGGTAATGTCTCAGGATATAACCAGGTAATGTCTCAGGATATAACCAGGTTATAAACAGGTAATGTCTCAGGATGTAACCAGGTTATAACCAGGTTATAACCAGGTAATGTCTCAGGATATAACTAGGTTATAACCAGGTAATGTCTCAGGATATAACCAGGTTATACCAGGTAATGTCACAGGTTAAAATCAGGTTATCACTAGGATATAACCAGGTAATGTCCCAGGTTAAAACCAGGTTGTAACCAGGTAATAACCAAGTTATAACCAGGTTATGTCTCAGGTTATAACCAGGTTATAACCAGGTAATGTCTCAGGATATAACCTGTTTATAACCAGGTTATTACCTGGTAATGTGTCAGGTTATAACCAGGTTATAACCAGGTAATGTCTCAGGTTATACCGAGGTTATAACCAGGTAATGACTCAGGTTATAACCAGGTCATAACCAGGTTATAACCAGGTAATGTCTCAGGATATAACCAGGTTATAACCAGGTTATAACCAGGTAATGTCTCAGGATATAACCAGGTTATAACCAGGTTATAACCAGGTAATGTCTCAGGATATAACCAGGTTATAACCAGGTAATGTCTCAGGTTATAACCAGGTTATAACCAGGTAATGTCTCAGGATATAACTAGGTTATAACCAGGTAATGTCTCAGGATATAACCAGGTTATAACCAGGTTATAACCAGGTAATGTCTCAGGATATAACCAGGTTATAACCAGATTATAACCAGGTAATGTCTCAGGTTATAACCAGGTAATGTCTCAGGATATAACCAGGTTATAACCAGGTAATGTCTCAGGATATAACCAGGTTATACCAGGTAATGTCACAGGTTAAAATCAGGTTATCACTAGGATATAACCAGGTAATGTCCCAGGTTAAAACCAGGTTGTAACCAGGTAATAACCAAGTTATAACCAGGTTATGTCTCAGGTTATAACCAGGTTATAACCAGGTAATGTCTCAGGATATAACCTGTTTATAACCAGGTTATTACCTGGTAATGTGTCAGGTTATAACCAGGTTATAACCAGGTAATGTCTCAGGTTATACCGAGGTTATAACCAGGTAATGACTCAGGTTATAACCAGGTCATAACCAGGTTATAACCAGGTAATGTCTCAGGATATAACCAGGTTATAACCAGGTTATAACCAGGTAATGTCTCAGGATATAACCAGGTTATAACCAGGTTATAACCAGGTAATGTCTCAGGTTATAACCAGGTTATAACCAGGTAATGTCTCAGGTTATAACCAGGTTATAACCAGGTAATGTCTCAGGATATAACCAGGTTATAACCAGGTAATGTCTCAGGATATAACCAGGTTATGACCAGGTTATAACCAGGTAATGTCTCAGGATATAACCAGGTTATAACCAGGTTATAACCAGGTAATGTCTCAGGATATAACCAGGTAATGTCTCAGGATATAACCAGGTTATAACCAGGTTATAACCAGGTAATGTCTCAGGATATAACCAGGTTATAACCAGGTAATGTCTCAGGATATAACCAGGTTATACCAGGTAATGTCACAGGTTAAAATCAGGTTATCACTAGGATATAACCAGGTAATGTCCCAGGTTAAAACCAGGTTGTAACCAGGTAATAACCAAGTTATAACCAGGTTATGTCTCAGGTTATAACCAGGTTATAACCAGGTAATGTCTCAGGATATAACCTGTTTATAACCAGGTTATTACCTGGTAATGTGTCAGGTTATAACCAGGTTATAACCAGGTAATGTCTCAGGTTATACCGAGGTTATAACCAGGTAATGTCTCAGGTTATAACCAGGTAATAACCAGATTATAACCAGGTAATGTCTCAGGTTATAACCAGGTTATAACCAGGTTATAACCAGGTAATGTCTCAGGATATAACCAGGTTATAACCAGGTAATGTCTCAGGATATAACCAGGTTATAACCAGGTAATGTCTCAGGTTATAACCAGGTTATAACCAGGTAATGTCTCAGGATATAACTAGGTTATAACCAGGTAATGTCTCAGGATATAACCAGGTTATACCAGGTATTGTCACAGGTTAAAACCAGGTTATAACTAGGATATAACCAGGTAATGTCCCAGGTTAAAACCAGGTTGTAACCAGGTAATAACCAAGTTATAACCAGGTTATGTCTCAGGTTATAACCAGGTTATAACCAGGTAATGTCTCAGGATTTAACCTGTTTATAACCAGGTTATTACCTGGTAATGTGTCAGGTTATAACCAGGTTATAACCAGGTAATGTCTCAGGTTATACCCAGGTTATAACCAGGTTATGACTCAGGTAATAACCAGGTTATAACCAGGTTATAACCGGGTAATGTCTCAGGATATAACCAGGTTATGACCAGGTTATAACCAGGTAATGTCTCAGGATATAACCAGGTTATAACCAGGTTATAACCAGGTAATGTCTCAGGATATAACCAGGTTATAACCAGGTAATGTCTCAGGTTATAACCAGGTTATAACCAGGTAATGTCTCAGGATATAACCAGGTTATAACCAGGTAATGTCTCAGGATATAACCAGGTTATGACCAGGTTATAACCAGGTAATGTCTCAGGATATAACCAGGTTATAACCAGGTTATAACCAGGTAATGTCTCAGGATATAACCAGGTAATGTCTCAGGATATAACCAGGTTATAACCAGGTTATAAACAGGTTATAACCAGGTTATAACCAGGTAATGTCTCAGGATATAACCTGGTTATAACCAGGTAATGTCACAGGTTAAAACCAGGTTATAACTAGGATATAACCAGGTAATGTCCCAGGTTAAAACCAGGTTATAACCAGGTTATTACCAGGTAATTACCAGGTAATGGCTCAGGTTATAACCAGGTTATAACCAGGTAATGTCACAGGATATAACCTGTTTATAACCAGGTTATTACCCGGTAATGTGTCAGGTTATAACCAGGTTATAACCAGGTAATGACTCAGGATATAACCAGGTTATAACCAGGTAATGTCTCAGGTTATAACCAGGTTATAACCAGTTTATAACCAGGTAATGTCTCAGGTTATAACCAGGTTATAACCAGGTTATAACCAGGTAATGTCTCAGGATATAACCAGGTTATAACCAGGTTATAACCAGGTAATGTCTCAGGATATAAGCAGGTTATAACCAGGTAATGTCTCAGGTTATAACCAGGTTATAACCAGGTAATGTCTCAGGATATAACTAGGTTATAACCAGGTAATGTCTCAGGATATAACCAGGTTATGACCAGGTTATAACCAGGTAATGTCTCAGGATATAACCAGGTTATAACCAGATTATAACCAGGTAATGTCTCAGGATATAACCAGGTAATGTCTCAGGATATAACCAGGTTATAACCAGGTTATAACCAGGTAATGTCTCAGGATATAACCAGGTTATAACCAGGTAATGTCTCAGGATATAACCAGGTTATACCAGGTAATGTCACAGGTTAAAATCAGGTTATCACTAGGATATAACCAGGTAATGTCCCAGGTTAAAACCAGGTTGTAACCAGGTAATAACCAAGTTATAACCAGGTTATGTCTCAGGTTAACCAGGTTCTAATCAGGTCATGTCTCAGGATATAACCAGGTTATAAGCAGGTTATTACCAGGTAATGTCTCAGGATCTAACCAGGTTATAACCAGGTAATGTCTCAGGTTATACCGAGGTTATAACCAGGTAATGACTCAGGTTATAACCAGGTCATAACCAGGTTATAACCAGGTAATGTCTCAGGATATAACCAGGTTATAACCAGGTTATAACCAGGTAATGTCTCAGGATATAACCAGGTTATAACCAGGTAATGTCTCAGGATATAACCAGGTTATAACCAGGTAATGTCTCAGGTTATAACCAGGTTATAACCAGGTAATGTCTCAGGATATAACTAGGTTATAACCAGGTAATGTCTCAGGATATAACCAGGTTATACCAGGTAATGTCACAGGTTAAAACCAGGTTATAACTAGGATATAACCAGGTAATGTCCCAGGTTAAAACCAGGTTGTAACCAGGTAATAACCAAGTTATAACTAGGTAATGTCTCAGGTTATAACCAGGTTTTAACCAGGTAATGTCTCAGGTTATACCCAGGTTATAACCAGGTAATGACTCAGGTTAAAACCAGGTTATAACCAGGTAATGTCTCAGGATATAAGCAGGTTATAACCAGGTAATGTCTCAGGATATAACCAGGTTATAACCAGGTTATAACCGGGTAATGTCTCAGGATATAACCAGGTTATGACCAGGTTATAACCAGGTAATGTCTCAGGATATAACCAGGTTATAACCAGGTTATAACCAGGTAATGTCTCAGGATATAACCAGGTAATGTCTCAGGATATAACCAGGTAATGTCTCAGGATATAACCAGGTTATAACCAGGTTATAACCAGGTAATGTCGCAAGATATAACCAGGTTATAACCAGGTAATGTCTCAGGATATAACCAGGTTATAAACAGGTAATGTCTCAGGATGTAACCAGGCTAAACCATGTTATTACCAGGTAATGTCTCAGGATATAACCAGGTTATAACCAGGTAATGTCTCAGGATATAACCAGGTTATAACCAGGTTATAACCAGGTAATGTCTCAGGATATAACTAGGTTATAACCAGGTAATGTCTCAGGATATAACCAGGTAATATCTCAGTTTATAACCAAGTTAAAACCTGGTTAAACCTTTTTTTAATACAATGAATTGCAAAGTCTAGAACAGTGTTGTACAGTAGGTACGTAGCATTACTTAAATATAGTACTTGAGTATAATTTTGAAGTGTCTGTACTTTACTGTAGTTTTTTTTGTGCCCGCGACTTTCACTTTTATTTGGCTGCATTTCTAAAAATAAAAGTATACTTTCGATTCTAATTCTGGTGCTTTAGCTTACATGTTAAATTATGTGACTATAAATCATAAAAATGGGTTTATAACCAGTTTCTTCAAACATTTTTAGGAGTTCAGCAGTTCTTTGAAAGTAAAATGATGGAAAATGTTACCAAGGTCCAAGAGCGGGCTGCACTTTCTGCTGAATAAAACCGATCCAGTTACTTCATAATGTTTTATCTTTCTTACAAAGACATTGTTTGAAGGCTAATGTTAATTTGATATTCTTGAGACTTTAAAGACTCTAGCCTTTGATTGGCATTTATCTATCTGTTATGGATCTGAGGACCTAACAGAAGACTGCACTGGCTGATCTGACCCTCACTGAGTGAATCTTTTACCTGCGTTCCCTTCGCTGCCTAAATGACTGATGACACTAACCAGAGTGTACCAGCTCTTAGCCTGAGAGCAAACACACAGAACAACTGTTAGAAACAAGCACACACAAACACACACACACACACACACACACACACACACACACACACACACACACACACACACACACACACACTTCTACACTCTTACACTCTGGCGCATAAATGTCTTACCTGGCTAGATGTCACAATAAGTTCCCTGGTGAGGTCCACGGAGTCGTGACATTTCACAAGCTCATAGGACTCAGTGAAGTGGAACCTCTTAATTTGGAGCACCAAGAAACTGTGGAGAGCAGCAGAGAGGGAATGACCACAGGATTATTAACTGAGGGAATTTCTGAGCATGAAAATACTGAGGATAAATTAACAGAAAATAATCTGTGCATGTGTCTGCAACAGGGGGAAACAGTGAGTCTGGGATGGATGTAACGTCACCCACTTTGGCAGGGTTGTGAAGGTGGAGCACTGTGCTGATGTTGTGCCTCCACACTCGCAGTTGAACTCCAAGTCTGTCTCCTGCAGAGAAAACATGCTGTCAGATACGGTGTACATTAAACATGGAAAATCAACAACCAAAAATAACCGCAGAGTGAAACATTTGAGTGGCTTCATAAAAGGACAATACATATGATTATATACTGTAGTTATACATGTTGTGAAAAGAAAATGTAAAGATAAAAGAAAAGATTACTGTAGATTTGACCTGACTTGATAAAAATGAGCAAAAAATTAAACACATTAGTCAAACTAGAGGTAAATTTGTCCTGCAACCATCTGTATGTTTTTACCTCTTGCATTTTCTGCAAATCTGCATCCTGAACACCAGGTTCCTTTCCACAGGACATCTGTAGGTCCTCCCCAGGATAGAGGCAACTTGCCTCAGTGGCGCAGCCAGGTCCCTCATCTGACCCAGAACTGCAGTCAGAAACTCATGGGCATCCTGAGCAAACAGAGACACAGGTTTGATTGGATAAGCAGACAAGGAGCAGTTAGTGAAACTTTAAAGAAAACGAGCTGACTTACTTTCTGATCGTGGTCCATAAACTCTGGGGCCTGGATAGAGAGAAGCCACTTAAATTTACCCAGAGCCCTAAGTTTTAGGTGAGTGTCACCCAAGTCATGGAGACGAACAATGTCCATGAAATAACTGCAGAGGGCAGAGGAACAGAGAGGAGCTTGTTTTAGTTTGATTTAAAGATTTGCGGATAAACTGAAGCCTCATGTCTCAGCAACAAAAAGTTCCTGACATCCTGAAATTAACTTATCCTTAGCAAAAAATCTGTCATGAAATAGTTTAACATGGATATTATCTCTTCTTTTAATGGGTCAAATCTTGTAAGCAGATTTACTGTTCATTTATATTAAATGTTGAATCATTTTTAGACTTAAAAAAAAATCTCTTTTTACAGTACAGGGCAAATAATACGTTCAAAGCCAAAAACTGACATAAAATTATACATAAATATTGTTTTCAACTTATAATAGATCACATTTATTTCACCAGCTTCAACTCTGTTTATAAATATATAAATATCAAATGATAAATAATTTCCAGAATTGTAACCCTATGCCAGTTTCCATACACAATGCATTGAAAAAAATATATTGTTATCCAACATTTTACACTATGAGCTAACATTAAAAAAAACAATCAAACTCAGATTGGGACATTTTTGTGATCACCAGTTAAAATGATTTGGGGTATGTTAATTTTTTTTTAATATGTCAGATTTGAAACCCCATTTAATTACAATACTTCATTTGAATTATCTGACATTGACATATTTCATAAGTTTTTATTATTTATTATTTTTATCTTTTCCTCAGTTTCAGTCCTGTATATTAATACCTATTATTAATAATTAATCATTAAATGCTAGTTCATTAACACAATAAACCAGATTTTTCATTTAAAAAAAAGACAAAAGCTTAATATTTCTCATATCCTGAGGACCAAAAAAAGCTTTGGGTCAATTTTGAATAGCAATATTAATTTTGATGCATTATTCCTTTTCTTTCTTGTATTTAGTTTTTAGTTTACGTCAAAAGTTTGACTCGTAGCTTCAACAACACGTTCTGTTGTTGAAGCTGTTTGAGAGGATGTAAAGATCACAGTTGAATTTTAATCCAAGCCACGATCTTTTCTGAACCAAACCAGTAAACATTGGTGTACATAACTAACAAATCAGAGACCATTTCTCAACGTAAACCTTGTACTTGGCATGTTTCGTGTGAAATTATTCAAGGATAGTTCAGGTGTTTGAAGGCGATATATAATAATCTAAAACAAAAATAAAAATAAACATTTTTGACTCAAAGTGGTGTAAGTTGCTTCTTGTGACCCATCTGCAGCGCATAGCTTTGCTTTAACGTAGGAACTCCCGCAGACAGCTATGCTGGCTGTTATCTGCTGTGTGTACCACTCTTAGTCATGCAGTCTGGCATAAAACAACCTAACCCTCTACTTTGGTCATCTTTTACACTTATTTTAAACAGTTAACTGTGTGTGTGTGTGTGTGTGTGTGTGTGTGTGTGTGTGTGTGTGTGTGTGTGTGTGTGTGTGTGTGTGTGTGTGTGTGTGTGTGTGTGTGTGTGCGTGTGTGCTTACAGATACTACACCTCATCAGCTGGGCCTCTGGGATCAGACTCCAGACCTCCTCCTGGCTCCTGATGTCCCTCACAAACCGTGTGAGCGTGAGCAAGCTCTGGAGGCTGGAGTTCATGTAACATATCTGGGCTGGGTTTGGAAATCTGACACACAAACACAACAAATGGAATCATATCTTAATATCACAGCTCCAGACACAAACTGAGGATTGTTTTTATCAAAATGTAGCTGCATGGATTTAAGTGATGAATCCAGAAAATCACGTGTACTCACCCAAGGTTGACCTGCTGACAGGCGACTCTCGGTTCGCTCTGTGGCACTCTGCTCTGAGAAACCTTGTCAGTGCTGCAGTGAGACAAAAACAAACTGTAAATAACAATGAACAGCAAAGAGCTACAAGTGTGTGGGGCTAGTAATCTACGTGTACTGAATCATATTTTACAGTTGACCTCATCCATGGAAAAGAAGGTTATTTTAGCAAAAATCAGTATTGAGATCGAAGTGGGATTGAATTTAAGGAGACGAGATTTGACCAACACAACACTCAGAGTTTTTAATTCACATTACCAGCACTGCCAATAATCCTTATTGACTGTTAGGATGAGTTTCTTTAGCCAGTCATGTCAGCCTTTAGAGTGGTGGAGCTGTGTCACTCAAATACCCCAGACACTTTGGTGTTAGATTGCTGGAGCCGGGGGCCTCCTACAACCATCCCTGAGCAAGGAACCCTGTACACATTATTTACACCATGTAGGTCCCCAAAATACGTTCTGTCAGGATATTTCCTTCTTGGGACCTTCCACATGTTCATCTAAGGCTTTTGAAACATGTTGTCCTTTGTTTTTACCATACATGGATTTCTCTTAGGGTCAACTAAATACCAACAGTATGTTTAGGATTGTGAACCGCTATATATACTTGAATGGTCTTGGACCACTTTTTGCTACACTTAGGGTGGCTACACTTGGGGTGGTCACTCTTGGCTACACTTGTGTTGGTCACACTTGTGTCACACTTGTGTTGCACTTGTGTTACACTTGTGGCCTGATGAAGCTGTAACCCAGATATGTAATCAGTAAAGCTTGTCAAAATGACCATTCGTGTGGACCTTCGATTCTTTCTAATGTGAACCTGGGCTAGGCATCCTTACATTGACTTTCAATGCCAATCAAAACATGTCCCAAGTAAGAACATAATGTTAAAAAGGGGATGAAAGCGATAACCTCAAGCTAACTCAAACCATAACTTTCTTTATTGAGATATCAACCTCCACATTAAATCTGGTACAGAAAGTGTGTATTAAACTGCTCTTTTCATTTAAATTTAAAGTCAAAAAATCAAGTTGGCTATTCTACAGCATTACAGCGCTTCTTAATATATAAATAAATGATTCATAGACTGAGGAACAGACTGTGAGTGTGTTTCAAGGGGAAAAAAATAATGTGTCAGGACATATTTAGCAGATATACTGATTTTCATGTACAAGTGACTTCATGTTAAAGCTACTGTGGGGAATTTTCAGCCGATTTTACTGACTGATATTGATAGGGATGCCTCTGTGTGGCCTTAAAAAGCAAATCAGACCACCTTTGAAGGGTTTAATCATCTCTACAAAGTTATTTGTGGGGTTAGAAACTGTTGTCAGGGGTGTAGGTGTCAGATGATTTAGCTAAATTGAAGCTTTTTAAAAAGGCTTTTTCAAAAATATCTCAGGTGAAGATGACCAATGACTTGTAAAATTGAGCAGGGAGATTTTTTTGTTTGAAAACAAGAC